GAACCAACGGCAAAAGGAAAGACCCTTTCTCTCTGTCTCTCTCTCTCTCTCTCACTGTCCACCTCTGCCTGTCAAAAAAAAAAAAAAAAGGCCGGCGCCGTGGCTCAATAGGCTAATCCTCCACCTTGCGGCGCCGGCACACCGGGTTCTAGTCCCGGTCGGGGCGCCGGATTCTGTCCCGGTTGCCCCTCTTCCAGGCCAGCTCTCTGCTATGGCCAGGGAGTGCAGTGGAGGATGGCCCAGGTGCTTGGGCCCTGCACCCCATGGGAGACCAGGAAAAGCACCTGGATCCTGGCTCCTGCCATCGGATCAGCGCGGTGCGCCGGCTGCAGCGGCGGCCATTGGAGGGTGAACCAATGGCAAAGGAAGACCTTTCTCTCTGTCTCTCTCTCTCACTGTCCATTCTGCCTGTCAAAAAAAAAAAAAAAAAAAAAAAAAAAAAGATTCACTTATTTATTTGAGAGGCAGAGTTACACAGAGAGGAGAGACAAAGGGAAGTCTTCCAACCAGTGGTTCACTCCAGATGGCTGTAATGGCCAGAGCTGGGTCGATCCCAAGCCAGTAGCCAGGAGCTTCCTCCAAGTCTTTCAATTGAGTGCAGGAGCCCAAGGACTAGGGTTATCTTCCACTGCTTTCCCAGGCCATTAGCAGGGAGCTGGCTTGGAAGTGGAGCAGCAGGGATTCAAACTGAAGCCCATATGGGATGCCAGTGCCACAGGTGGAGGCTTAACCCTCTTTGCTACAGTGCCAGCTCCGCTTTATATGTTTTGAGATTTTGTTGTCAAATAGAAATCATATCTTCCTATGAGATAGATATTGTATCACTTTGAAGTTTCCTCTTTGCGTGTGGTGTATTAGCTCAGCATTACTACAACAAAATACCTGATACGAAACTACTTATGAAGGAAAGAGGTTTATTTTGGCTCACCATTCCGGGGGTTCACAGTCCAAACCACTGGGGGTGCCCGGTCTGGGGCATGGGTGGCAGGGGCTGTTATCCCTGCACTCCCAGCCACGTTAGCAAGAAGCTGGATCAGATGCAGAGCAGCCAGGCCTCGAACACTGCTCCATTATGGGATGGTGGCATCACAAGCCCTGGTTTAATCTGCTGCGCCACAACGCCAGCCCTGTGCAGTGCAGTTTTCCAGTGTGTAGACTTGTAAAAATAGTTCTGGTGTACATGTAAATCTTTCAAGCTTTGCCTTCATACACACTTTTGTGTTGTGGAAAAGCCAAGCATCTCAAGGAGATTCTGGTGATAAAGCACACAGAATTCCTGGGACTACTTTCTAGGGCAAGAAGAAAAGCTTGTCTGTCTGGTTTCCATTGTTGTACACAGAGGCGAGGGAAGGCAGGGCTGCGGGGGGGGCCATCCAGGCCGAGGCAGCGACAGCCGGGGGGGGGGGGGGGGGCTCACTGCTCCAACCCCAAGCTGTGTGCTGGAGCAGGAGACCTGCCTGTCGGGATGAGAAGGGACATGTTGCCACTAGCGATACGGATGAGAGACTCACTTCTTACTTGCTGTTAGCTCTCTCGATTGTGTTGTGGCCCTTTCTTGAATTGTTCTTCACTGTGGTCCGACCAGGGTCAAAGACTCTTGCAATTACAATTTTAAATAGTGTGCATTTCGGTTCGCAGTTTTAACAGCGTACAAGCTTTGTAGCTATCTGATAAAAACAACATTTATAAGTGATCTCCTACCACAACGGTTCCTGTTAATGACTGCCTCAAAATGCTGTCCCGGGCCAGAATCTGATTTCGTGAGTCAGAACCCCAAGAAGTTGCCCAGGGGGAAGTAAAGGTCTATTTTCTGGCCGGCGCCGTGGCTCACTAGGCTAATCCTCCACCTAGCGGCGCCAGCACACCGGGTTCTAGTCCCATTCGGGGCGCCAGATTCTTTCCCGGTTGCCCCTCTTCCAGGCCAGCTCTCTGCTGTGGCCCGGGAAGGCAGTGGAGGATGGCCCAAGTGCTTGGGCCCTGCACCCCATGGGAGACCAGGAGAAGCACCTGGCTTCTGCCATCGGATCAGCGCAGCGCGCCGGCCGCGGCGGCCATTGGAGGGTGAACCAACGGCAAAAGGAAGACCTTTCTCTCTCTCTCTCTCACTGTCCACTCTGCCTGTTAAAAAAAAAAAAAAAAAAAAGTCTATTTCCTGCCAGTTTTTCTGTACCTTGATTGAATTTCAATGTATCTATATTTGATACCATTTTAGAAAATTCAGATGTTACAGAAATGGATAACAAATGGAGTGAAAATTCCATGGGGCCAGTGCTGTGGTGTAGCGGGTAAAGCTGCTGCCTGCAAATGCCAGCATCTCATATGGGCGCCGGTTCGAATCCCAGCTGCTCCACTTCTGATCCAGCTCCCTGCTAATGCGCCTGGGAAAGTAACAGAAGATGGGCCACATGCTTGGGCCCCTGCACCCACGTAGGAGACCCAGAGGAAGCTCCCGGCTCCTTGCTTACGCCTGGCCCAGCTCTGGCTGTTTTGGGCATTTGGGAAGTGAACCAGCAGATGGAAGTTCAATAGTGAAACACCAGAAAATTCCGTCCTAGCCAGGAACAAGATAAGAATGCCCACTGCTGTGGTGATATTGTCATAGAAGTGTTAACCAAGGCAGTGAGATCAGCTTATAGAATCAAAAGATCACAAAAACGGGAAAAGGGCTGGCATTGTGGCACAGCAGGTTAAGCCACTGCTTGCAATGCAGGCATCCCATATCAGAGCCCATATGGGATGCCAGCACTGTAGGTGGCACCTTTACCCACTGCACCACAGCGCCAGCTCCATAAATAAAAATTCTTCAAGTAAAATAGGAATAGGTGGATATTTTCTGAACAACACTAAAGATTTTCATTTTAGCCCAAAAGTCAGCATTCTTCTTGACTAGAATGCCTCATTTTGGAGAGCTATGACTGTCCATGCTCACCTAGCAATTCAGTATAATAACCACATGAAGGAAGCTGCAGCTGGGGTAGCTCTTCACCAGAACGACTCTCGGTGGAAGTAACACACGAGAATGGTAAGGAAGGTGCAACTCGGAGAGATGGCTGTGCTTCTAGGCTGTGTTCCCACAGAGGAGGAGGACTGTTACACGAGGCCAAGGCACAAAGCACAGTACCAACACAGCAAGAAGCAAATAAGCCAACAGAACCAACCAAAGTCCAGGAATAGGTAGTGAGTGTGAACAAAAATTTTATACAGAATTTTCTTTTTCTCAGATTTATTTATTTCTATCTATTTATTTAGGCAGAGTTACACAGAAAGAGAGGGAGAAATCTTCTGTCTCTTCCTCTCTCTCTGTAACTCTGCCTTTCAAATAAAATAAATAAAAATGTTTTATTTACTTCTTTGATTGCAAATCCCAAATTCGCCGGTGCCGCGGCTCACTAGGCTAATCCTCCGCTTTGTGGCGCCGGCACACCAGGTTCTAGTCCCGGTCGGGGTGCCGGATTCTGTCCCAGTTGCCCCTCTTCCAGGCCAGCTCTCTGCTGTGGCCAGGGAGTGCAGTGGAGGATGGCCCAAGTCCTTGGGCCCCGCACCCCATGGGAGACCAGGATAAGTACCTGGCTCCTGCCATCGGATCAGCGCGGTGTGCCGGCCGCAGCGGCCATTGGAGGGTGAACCAACAGCAAAGGAAGACCTTTCTCTCTGTCTCTCTCTCTCACTGTCCACTCTGCCTGTCAAAAAAATAAAAAAATTCGATTTGGAAGGTGAAGAGACAGAGATCTCCCATCTGCTGGTGTATTTACTCCCCAAATGCCTGCAACCAGGGCTGGATTCAACTGCGGTGAGGAGCTGGGACCTCAATCTGTGTGTCCCATGCGGGTGGAAGTGACCTAAGAACTTGACCCATCCCCTGCAGCCAGCCAGGGTGAACACTGGCAGGAAGCTGGACCTGGGAGCAGAGCCGGAACTCAAGCCCCAGCGCTCCCATAGGCGGTGTGGGCATCCCAAGCCAGTCCCTGTTTTTTTTAATTTGCTGTGTTCTGAGTCCCTTTGCTGCAGCTGGTTCTACATTTCAGAAAGCAGCTGTGACGAGTGAGACAGAGGTTCAGCTTACACCTGTGCCCAAGCTGCTACCCCCCCACCCCCACCCCACTCCGGGCGTATTGCACGCGCAAGCCATTTGTTATGCAGTCAGGGAAAAAAAAAAACCTTAACAGAATTTACTCTTTTGTATCCCAACAGCTGTCGGTTTCTGTGGCTCCTCAAGATGTCAGTCTTAATCTTAGGACTCGGCCTTGCCTTTTTTATATTCAGAAGCGTGTCCCTGCAAACAGAATTTGGGGGGCTCAAGCTGGAGTTCTCGCGCCCCGCGCCCGAGGGCCAGCCGCTGAAGCTGCTCCCCGAGCAGCGTCTCAGGAACCTCTTTGCCTACAGCGGGATCTGGTGAGATCTGGAGGCTTCTCTCTTCCGCCTCCGTCCTGACCCCTGCCAAGCCCTGCTGGGCTGCACGGAGCCCTCTCGCGCCCGTTTTACCTACGGTGCCCCTGTCTTCCTGAACTTGCCCTGATTGCTAAGGTGATTCCCAACTGCCGGACCAGCGGAGGGCTTGCAGGGGAAGGGCTCGGTCTCTGCCCTCCCCGCCGGCCCGTAAAACCCCTGACAGCCTGGTGGGGGTGGGGGAGCTCGTGAGACCCCAGCTCCGGCAAAGACGCCCTGCCTTTTATAGTCGCTCAGCCTTTGGGCCAAGACCAAGTGCAGTATCTGTTCTTAGTGAACTGCATATTTACTACGCCCTCCATCCAAGAACAATACCGTAAATGGATTTTCGGAGCAGGGAGATGGAATGGGAGCAGGCTCCACCCTCCCTCCGGGGATGGTATGGCTCCTTGGGGAAGAAAAGAAAGGCGCTGGCCTTCGGTCCCCTGCCTTCCAGCTTGGACACTAGCCTGGCAGGGGGTGATTCAAGTGCAGGGAGGGGTCTGAGGCTTCATATCCCTACCCCTCAGCCTGTGTCTCTGCCAGGGGCCCCGCCCATCAGGACAGCTGGGTGAAGGCCACACGGAGTTGGAGTTGGTCCTCGGGTCCCCCCTGCCCCAGGCGTGTCGCCAGCCCTCCTGCTTGTTTCAGGCTCTTCCCCAAGAACCAGTGCAGATGTGAAGCCTCCCAGGGGCAGAGGAGTTACAACCTCCAGGACGCCTACAACCAGCGCGACCTCCCGGCCGTGAATGCCAGGAGACAGGCGGAATTTGAACACTTTCAGAGGAGGTAATGCTTGGATCTGGAGAGACAGCCACAGCTCCGCGGTGTCCTGAGGACCTGGACAAATGGCAGCCCCCCCGTCCCCCCCCCCCCCCCCCGCCTTACAGGCATCCCTGCGGGGAGCTGTCAGGACTCAACAGGGAGTGGGAACTGGGGGTGTGCTCCAATTACAGAGCGCCACATGAGTAAAACATTTCATAGCAAATAAATAAAGAGGGTAAAATAGGGGTGGGCGTGGGGTGCAGGGCCTCCTGGGGACGCCCACAGCCCATGTGGGAGTGCCTGGGTCCCAGCCCCAGCTCCGGTTCCGGTTCCAGCTTCCTGCTGATGCGCACCTGGGAGGCAGCAGGTGATGGTTTAAGAAGCTGTGTCCTTGGCACCCAGGAGGAAGACCCACACTGAGTTCCAGGCTCCTGGGCTTCTGGGGAGTGAACCAGGAGGCAGAAGTTGCCTCTGCCTCAACAAGAACTTTACTTGTTTGTTTGTTTTTTAATTCCGATGCTGGCTTTGCCCAGAAAATTTCAACAGGTGTATTTACTGTTGTTATAAAGTTGAGCTGCTGAAATGCAGTCACTGAACATTTTTATTTGCTCTAATACTTTACATCCCTATTTTTGGATTTTTTTTTTTTTTGGACAGGCAGAGTGGACAGTGAGAGAGAGAGAGACAGAGAGAAAGGTCTTCCTTTTGCCGTTGGTTCACCCTCCAGTGGCCGCCGCGGCCAGCGCGCTGTGGCCAGCGCACCGCACTGATCCGAAGGCAGGAGCCAGGTGCTTCTCCTGGTCTCCCATGGGGTGCAGGGTCCAAGCACTGGACCATCCTCCACTGCACTCCCTGGCCACAGCAGAGAGCTGGCCTGGAAGAGGGGCAAGCGGGAAAGAATCCGGCGCCCCGACCAGGACTAGAACCTGGTGTGCTGGCGCCGCTAGGCGGAGGATTAGCCTATTGAGCCATGGCGCCGGCTATATTTGGATTTAAAAATTCACATGGAAGTGAAAATGAAAAACTTCTGACGTCTGATTTCTGTCCTCTCGTCTCCCCTTGCAGTTATTACTTGAGTACCTCTTGCCCCAACCAAAACCAAAACCAAAACCAAAACCAAAACCAAAACCAAAACCAAAACCAAACAAACAAAAAAAACTAATGCTCAGAGTTACCAATATCTGGATGAAGAGGAAAATTTTATTTTGAGTGTAAAATAATGTTTCTCATCATAGCGGGTTATTTATATGGATTTGTTTTTAACTAACATACTTTTATTTTTAGAGCAGTTTTTTAGGTTCATGGGAAATACTGAAGTCCCCTGTGATCTTGTGCAAATAATTTCTGTGTGATTAATATGTTTTTAACTCGGTGCTCTTGTTACATTTGATGAATCAACACTGACTCACTGGATTCTTACGTACTTTCTCCACTTACAAGAGGTATTTTTAGTATTATTTATCTGAAAGGCAAAGGGGGAGAGAGAGAGAGAGATCTTCCATCTGCTGGTTCACTTCCCTAATAGCTGCAATGGCCGGGGCTGGGCCAGGATGAAGTCAAGAACCTGGAACTGCATCCAGGTCTCCCATGTGGGTGGCAGGGACCCAAGTACCAGCCATCATCTGCTGTCTCCCAGGCGCATTAGTAGGAAGCAGGACTGGAAGCAGAGCAGTTTGGACTTGACCCTGGCAGTCTGATATGAGATGACTGAGTTACAAGTGGCTGCTTAACCCACTGTGCCACAGTGCTGGCCCCTTGTCTTGGGTGTGCACATGGCGTGGATAGCACACAAGTTGGTGTCTTCAAAAAGGCCGACCAGCTCGCCCCCACTCGCCTCCTGCACAGCGCCCGTAGCTGCATGTGCAAATGCAACTCTGCTTTGAATTCCTGAGCGAGTTCTTGCACCAGACATGGGGGTGAATCAGAAGCTGAGAGCCACGGGACCAGGCCTGCCGCCATGAGGTTCTTCACGTCCCAGCAGAGGGCACACTCCTAGAGGCAGATGCTTCCCCGGGCGCTTTCCCACCAGCCAATGGCATGCAGCAGGCACTTTCCCACCAGCCAATGGCATGCAGCAGGCACTTTTCCACCAGCAATGGCATGCAGTGGGCGCTTCCCCACCAGCCAATGGCGTGCAGTGTGCTCTGCAGGAGCCCTGAGGTGGAGATCTCCCTACCCGCCCTCTTTCTACTTCAGCCGGAGCTCAGCGGGCTGGGAGAGCGGCAGCTGCAGACCCCTCTGGGTTTGATTTGTGAAGTCAGCCACGACCTCCCAAACTACAGAAGAGAGATGGGGGTGCAGCCAATCAGGAGGCTAGACCTGGCATGGATTGGGAAGCGGCGCGCCTGGCTGTGAGAGGCAGGAGTTAGCAGGGAGGCGGGCTGGCCGTGCCCGCCCCCAGCCAGGAGGCCCTGGGGAGCTGCTGAGCCAGTTCTGTAGAATGGGTGTGAGAACGGCATGAGCGTCTTAGAGCTTCGGAGTGGGGGGTGGGGGGGAGACATAACGAGCTGATAAACGAAAAGTCGTGAGAACCACATCAGGTTTGCAGCGGCCCTGACAAACGGGCATCGTGCCCATGACACCCTGTGCCTGCCTGCCTCTCTGCTGGACGTTCCTGCTGTCGGGCACTCTGTCTGTCGCCGCTGTTCTGGGCGGCCCCTGTAGCTGGGGCTTTGAAGCAGCCGGGACAGTGGCTGACCCAGAGCAAGGCTCCATAAATGTATGTAGAAAAGTGAATGGTGTAAGGGCAGGCACAGGGTGGATGGTGCAAGTGGGTACGGGGACAGCTGGGAGAAGGCAGCCACTGCGGTGCCTGGGTGTGCAGGGTGCGGGAGGCGCAGAGGTGGTGGAAGGGCAGGGAAAGGGTTTGGAAGAGGCGGAGAGGCTGAGGTGGGGAGGGCACTGCCTGGAAGGTGGGGGTAGACGGAATCCCACGAGGGAACTGATTGTACAGGGACTCGTCCTCCCCTGTGCCTCCTTCAGGCATGGGGAGACCCCGCTTTCCTGGGATGACAGCAGGCAATGCTTCAGGCAGGAAGGAAAGCAAACAGAGCTCAGTCGTCATGACTGATGTCCCGGGTTTCGTGCCCGTGGGGACGGAGCGGGGCAGGGAGCCGCCCCAATGGAGAGCCTGCGGCAGGTGTAACAGAGCAGATCCTGCCGGAGCGTCGTCCCCCAGAGCCAGAACACCCCGTGTGTGCAGCCCTGATTCCATGCAGGGCCGGGGCCAGTGTGGAATGGACGAGTCCACGTGGGCTGTCACTGGCCCACAGGATGTATCCAGCAAATTGTGGGGGAACTCAGGAGTTGCGTTCCAAGTTCAACATTAGGTCATCACACCTGGTGTGCACGCCCCTGGTTATCACACAGTGCTCCAGGATGTGGAGGTCCTCAAAAAGTTCCTGGGAGAGGGTGTTAAGGAAAATTTGTTTGTGCAATTCTGAAATTTATGCATAGGAGGAATCTTCAGAAGTTTCATTGGAAATGTATATGATAGAAAAAACTAGGCAGAAACTTCCTGCTTTTCAGTGATTTTTTCAAATCTTTATTTATTTAAGACAGAAGGGGAGGGGGAGAGAGAGACAGGCTGGCAGACAGACAGAGTTTCATCCACTGACTCACTCCCCAAATGCCCACAATGGCCAGGGCTGGGCGAGGCTGAAGCCAGGAGCTGGGAACTCAGTCTGGGTCTCCCCCGTGGATGACAGGAACCCAAGTACTTGAGCCGTCACCTGCTGCCTCCTAGGTCCACGTCAGCAGGAAGCTGGAGTTGGGAGTGAAACTGAGACCCAGACCTGGGCACTGTGATGTGGGGTGCAGGTGTCCTAACCACTCTGCCAGATGACCGCTCCAGAGTTTGGTGTTGAGTTTGTGCCGGGGAAAGTTTAACTTCTCTTTGAGAATCGGCCTGCTTCTCCTTTTGATAGCAAGGCCAGTACAATGAGGGCCAGTCATGTACCCTCTGACCACCAGGAAGTCCAGAGGTGCCTTGGGTGCTCACCTGCCACAGGTCGGTTGGCCCTTATGGTCTGATTGGTTCATTTCTTATTTTTCTTTCTTTTTTTTTTAAGATTTATTTATTTTTATTTGAAAGTCAGAGTTACACAGAGAGAGGAGAGGCAGAGAGAGAGAGAGAGAGGTCTTCCATCTGATGGTTCACTCCCTAATTGGCTGCAAAGGCTGGAGCTGTGCCAATCTGAAGCCAGGAGTCAGGAGCTTCTTCTGGGTCTCCCACATGAGTGCAGAGGCCCAAGAACTTGGGCCATCTTCTACTGCTATCCCAGGCCATAGCAGAGAGCTGTATCAGAAGTAGAGTAGCGGGGTCTCGAACTGGCGCCCATATGGGATGCCAGCGCTTCAAGCCAGGGCATTAACCCGCTGCACGACAGTGCCGGCCCCCTGTTTTTTATTTTTCTGCACACTTCCATGGAATTAGGGGCTAAGAGGAGGGGTAGAAGTAGAGACGGGGGCAGACGGAGCCTGCTTTCAGATTGTGCACATAGGCGGGCCAAGGCTGTGTGCACAGGCACTGCTCAGAACCAACCAGGGCCCTGCTGTTCTCCTGCAGGGAGGGGCTGCCCCGCCCACCGCCGCTGCTGGCTCAGCCCAACCTCCCTTTTGGGTACCCGGTCCATGGAGTGGAGGTGATGCCCCTGCACACCATTCTCATCCCAGGTAGGTACCCCTCACCCTGAGAGCACCTGGGCACCCTGCTTTGGCTTCTGAGGCCAAAGGATGAGGTAGCAGCAAACAGTTATTATTGGACACCTGCCGAGTTCTGTGATTCTCTCATGTCAGCCTCATTGTGCCCCAGAGAGCTCCCTGGGGGCTCGGACATAGCATGGAAGAGACTGAGGACGGAGCGGGTGTTCCGGTGCCCTCTGGTGTCATGGGAACAGCAAAGCACGCGCCCATGTGCAGAGAGTGTGTTTAGGACAGCCCTGCGCGGTGCAGTTTGTCCACGCCCGCCCGTCAGCCCACCTGTTGTTCCCTAAAGGAGCAGACACCGGGAGAGGACTGAGTCTGTCACAGCTGAGGACTGGGCCGGCGGCCCTGAGGCAAGGCCGTGTCACACCGCCTCACAGAGCTGGGTGGGCGGTGCGGTAGTGGCAGGAGTCACCCGGGCAGCAGCCAGCAGTGGGGAGCCTTGGCGCCCCCTCCCATGCTTGTGTTATTCTTTCCCTGTGTCCTCCAGGTCTCCAGTTTGAAGGGCCAGATGCTCCCGTCTACGAGGTAAACGCCCCCTGCCCAGCCCCTGTTGCCTGGAGCACCCTGTCCTCATTCCCCGGGTGTGACAGAGCACCTGTCCGGATGAGGCGGGCCAGGGGGAGGGTATGTGTAGAAGGCACGGCTTTCCAGGCACGCGGTTGGCGGGAGGTCCAGGGGAGATTCCGAGATGTGGAAGGGTCGGGGGGGACTGGGCCAGCTGGACATGGCCAGGGGCTGCTGCCTCCCTTGGGGTCAGGCAGGGCGGGGGTGCTCTGGACCCCGCCTTTCTCTCCCCATGGGAGGGAGCTCCAAATCAAGGTCACGTGATGCGCATCTGATGGCAGATGTCACTCATTCCCCCAAATGGGGTGCTGGTTTGCTTGCCTCTGAGTGCGGGGCCGAGACTGGAATGCAGGACTAGTGAGGACATGAACCCAGCTGTCCCGTCCTCCTGAGGTCTCTCTGACGCCCAAGCACCCCCTCCCTCGCCCCATCCCCGTTGCTCATGTGCACCTGCAGTACCTGAGCCGAGGGCTGGGATGCCTGCTCTCAAAGGCAGGGAGAGGCTGCCCTCTGCACTGCTCTTCTCCTGGGACCCCTAACTGGGCTCTCAGAAGGTATCTGTGGGCTGACCTGTGTGCCTTCGGCAGCCAGGACGTAATCCAGTTGGTGCTCACGGAGGCAGCTGGATATTCTGAGGACAAGGGAGGCGAGGAGCCTTAGCGGGTAGCAAGGGGGATGGAGCGAAGGGGCCTGCTTCCAGCTGCATTTTGAAGGTGAAGCCGACCAGGACTTGCTACCAGATGGGCTGTGAGGTGTGAGGGAGGGAGCGGGGCAAGAGTGGCTTCCCTCCGGGGCTTGCACAGTTGAGTGGATGAAGGTGCCACGTGCAGACAGGGAGGGTCAGGGTGAGGAAGGGCAACAGTTTATGGAGAGATAGATGATAGGTGATTAGATAGACAGACGTAGATCTCTCACCTGCTGGTTCATTCCTGCAACAGCCAGGCCTGGGGCAGGCCACAGCCAGGAGCTGGAAGCTCCACCCAGGTCTCCCGTGTGGGGTGGCAGGGACCCACGTACTTGAGCCATCACCATGATCTTCCAGGGTTCACAGTAGCGAGGAGCACACCAACCCAGGTGCGCTGATGTGGGATACGACATCTCAGCCACGGAGGCTAAATGCCGACCCCTAATGTTCTGCTTTGAAGATGTCCGATTTGAGTTGTTAATGAAACTTCCCAGTAAACTGACCAACCAGGCCGCTGGATCTCAGAGCTGAACTGGAGACCCGCATTTTAAAACCACCCGCAGACCAGTGGCATGTACAGCCACGAAACGTGGATGACAGGCTCTAGAGGTACAGTGCAGAGCAAGGGGGAAGGATCCAGAGTAGAGTCCTGAAAACTCCATTTGGGGGTCAGAGAGAGACAGAGAGAAAGAGAGAGAGAGAGGAGGAGTTGGTAAGGAGAAGTATCACCAAAAGAAAAGGGGGGCAGTGCTGTGGCATAGCGGGTAAAACCACCACCTGCAGTGCTGGCATCCCAGATGGGCACTGGTTCAAGACCTGGCTGCTCCACTTCTGATCCAGCTCTCTGCTATGGCCTGGGAAAGCACTGGAAGATGGCCCAAGTGCTTAGGCCCCTGCACCCATGTGGGAGAGCTGGAGGAAGCTCCAGGCTCCTGGCTTCAGATTGGTGCAGCTCAAGCCATTGCAACCAATTGGGGAGTGAACCAGAGGATGGAACACCTCTCCTCTCCTCTCCTCTCCTCTCCTCTCCTCTCCTCTCCTCTCCTCTCTCTCTCTCTCTCTCTCCCCCCTCCCCCTCTCTCCCCCTCTCTCCTCCTCTGTCCTCCTCTCTCCCCCTCTGCCTCTGCCTCTAACTCTGCTTTCCAAATAAATAAATAAATCTATCTATCTATCTATCTATCTATCTTTAAAAAAAAAAAGTTGAGTGGAGGGAGTAAGAAGAGATCAAGAAGAATGGTACCTGTGAAGCCAGGAGATGGCACCGTTTAGAGAAAATGCCCTTGAACCCAGGGGGTCCAGGGCTTAGGGGCGGGGACCTCTTCAGAGCCAGCCCTGCTCTTTCATGGGCATTGCCCTTGGTGTGCTCTGCCCCCTGCTGGCCATCTGGGGTATTTCCCAACCACTGCTTCTAGCTTCTTCCCTCACCTGCCCACTAGATCACCCTGAGAGCTTCTCTGGGGACCCTGAACACCCTTGCTGACGTCCCAGACAGCGCAGTGCAGGGAAGAGGCCAGAAGCAGCTGACCATTGCGACCAGCGACCGGAGGCTTTTGAAGTTCATCCTGCAGCACGTGACCTACACCAGCACGGGGTACCAGCACCCCAAGGTGGACATGGGTGAGAGCATGGCTGAATACTTAGGAAGCCAGAAAATGGGGGCCTCTCGAGGCCTTCTTCCTCCAGGAAGCCTGCTTGCGTTTAAGATTCCACCTTTGGGCCGGCGCCGCGGCTCACTAGGCTAATCCTCCACCTTGCGGCGCCGGCACACCGGGTTCTAGTCCCGGTCAGGGCGCCGGATTCTGTCCTGGTTGCCCCTCTTCCAGGCCAGCTCTCTGCTGTGGCCAGGGAGTGCAGTGGAGGATGGCCCAGGTGCTTGGGCCCTGCACCCCATGGGAGACCAGGAAAAGCACCTGGCTCCTGGCTCCTGCCATCGGATCAGCGCGGTGCGCCGGAAAAAAAAAGATTCCACCTTTGCTCCTGTTTCTCACCCCACTAAACTTCCCCATCACAGCACCTAACGTGACCTCTGTGGGGTTGCCCTTGACCCCCAGAGGGACATGAGGATTGTTCCCACTGCTTACCTTACTCGTGATCAGCTCCAGCCCGGAGAGCCCTGCTGTGCTGTTCTCGAAAGCCGTCAAAGCCTGGGCTCCAGCTGTGGTCCTGTAGGGAGCCGGTCCTGGGCACAACGAGGGTCCCTGGAGAGACCCCCAGCCCCAAGGGAGAGCCTTTGTCTCCCCCCACCCTATTCCCAGAATCCCTGGGAGAACAGTTCTTACCACCCTCATAGCAGCCTCCGTTCCTTTCTCGGGGAGCCAAAAGCACCCTCCTGTCTTTGGAGTCCCCAGGCACAAGAAGCGTGGCCGTGACAGCCACAGCAGAAAAGAAACGTGGGTCGGTGTAGCCATGACCACTAGCTAAAGGGACAGTTCCCCCTGCCAGTAGATTCCCCAATACTTCCCTTCAGAAAATGGCCGTGGGAAGTAAAATCGGGCAGGCGCTATTATCCTGGATTTTGTAGCCCGAGGGGGAGATTTGATTTATCCAAGCTATTCCAGAGAGTTCCAGGCAAAGTCAAACTGAATCCAGACCCCTGATCCCAAGCCCATCCCCAGCACACACTGGCCCAGGGAGGGAGATGAGCCGAGGAGGCGTTTGGCAGGTTGCCCCAGCAACACACGGCAAGTGAGGAGCGAGCCTGGATACCACAGCCTCTGTGGGCCCGCTCTCACGCCTGCCAAGTGTGTCCTCAGCAAACCTTCGCACCGCCCTCCTGTGGGCTTCCCCGGAAGAGCGTGGAGGCTGAGTAGACACCCGGGACCTGACCTGCTTCTCCCCACAGTGAGTCTGGAGTGGAAGTCCTCAGTGGCCAGGTTTCCAGTGAGCATCCGCCATCCCATCATGCCCAAGTTGTATGACCCTGGACCAGGTGAGGGCACGTGGTGCACCTGCTGAGCTCCTGGTGACATTCAGAGGGGAGAGCAGCCGAGATGGGGGAGGGGCATGGGTCACAGTTACAGCTCAGACAGGACTCCCAACAACAAGCTTTGTCTTCAGGAAAAAATGTCTAGGCCATGCTCCCGTAGTATTGCTTCACTATACTGAACTGCTTACGTGGTTTGTGCTTATTTTGGGGAAAAAAAAAAAAAAAAAAATCAGAAGTCCAGAAGTAGGTGCAATGTGTATTGGAGCACCTGGTGGAATGCCTGACTGTGTCGCTCTCAGGAAGTGGCTCTCACTGGGGCCAAGGCAGGGCTGTGGCCTTCAGCTTTGCTTCTGGCCGACCCCATCTCCACCCTGGCTCCTGGCTCCTGGTTTCAGATCGGCCCAGCTCCAGCCATTGCAGCCATTTGGGGAGTGAATAGCAGATGGAAGACCTCTCTCTCTCTCTCTCTCTCTCTCTCTCTCTCTCTGCCTCTGTAACTCTGCCTTTCAAATAAATAAATAAATCTTTAAAAAAAAAAAAAAAAAGGTCAGTACAGAGAGAGAAAGAGAAATTTTCTATTGGCTGGCTCACTCCCCAGATGGCCAGGGCTGGGCCAGTTTGAAACCAGGAGCTTCATTTGGGTCTCCAGATGGGTGCAGGGGCCCAAGCACTTGGGCCATCTTCCACTGCTTTTCCCAGGCACATTAGCAGGGAGCTGGGTCAGAAGTGGAACAGCCGGGACTCAAACCAGTGCCCATATAGGATGCTGGCATTGCAGGTGGTAGCTTTACCCACTATGCCACAGCGCTGGCCCCAGCTCCATGCATCTCAGTGTCTGGGATTACGATGAAAGCTGAAGGCAGACATTTGGCACAGTGATCTAGACGCCACGTGGGACACCCGTACATACCTGAGTGTCTGGGTCCAGTCCTGGCTCCACTTCCAATTCCAGCTTCCTGCTAACGTGCACCCTGGGAGGCAGCAGGTGACGGCTCAAGTATCTGAGTCCCTGCCACACACACAGGAGACCTGGATTGAGTTCCAGGCTCCTGGCTTTGGCCTGGCCCAACCTTGGTTGTGGTAGGCATATGGGGGCATGAACCAGTGATGCATTATCTCTCTGTTTCTCTGCCTTTCAAATAAAAAGTAATTAATTTTTTAAAAAAGATGCAACAGCTTGCAAGTAAAGCTCTAGCAACAAGGGAAAACGAAGCATTTAATTTGGAAGCAGAAAAATGGCGTCGTGGTGCCAACAAAACCAGGGTAGGAAAAATACACAAGATTTCAATAAACTGAGTACATCGGAAATGCATTTTATTTTCCAACCCAAGTAGCAAACCCTAATCAGGCCCCCACAGTGTGTAAGAGCCATGAGGCCCACAGCTGCTGACAGGCTGGGGCCAGAGACAGGGAGGCCCCCTGTAGGGCCTAGCTCTGACGCCCACCCTTCTGTGTCCAGAGAGGAAGCTCAGAGACCTGGTGACCATTGCCACCAAGACCTTCCTCCGCCCCCACAAGCTCATGACCCTGCTCCGGAGTATTCGGGACTATTACCCAGACTTGACCGTGATCGTGGCTGACGACAGCAAGAGGCCCCTGGAGATCCGTGACAAGCACGTGGAGTACTACACCATGCCCTTTGGGAAGGTAGGGTCCTCCCGGACAGGAGGGCCCAGGACGGGGCTGCCGCCAGGGTCCTCCCAAAGGAGCAGTGTTCCGGAGTGGGAGGGGTGTGAGGGCCGTCCTCGGAGACCCTGGGAGGGCAGGTGCAGGAGAAATTGGGTCCCCCCGCACTTCCACATCGATGGGATGGCTGTGCCACCCTTCCTCATGTTTAATAGGGAAGTGATGGGGTGCTTAGAAGTGACTTGGGGTGTCTGGCGTCCCCAAGATCCCTGGCAGTGGCTCAGACAGTAGAGCCATCAGTCTCCCCCAAGATTATGCCCCAAACTTGGCTCTCTCTCTCTCTCCCCTTTTCTCCCCTCCACTCCCTTCTCCTCCCTCCGCCCTTCACTGTCCCCCACATCCCTCCTGCAGGAACAGAGGACGTGGCTATTAGACATACACCCCCTCAACTCAACGTCTTGCAGGAGCTAGGAGGAGAGCTCCAGGGGCTCTGCCGGGCGACAGGGGTCCCAGAAGGCCTGGCCTTTCCTCGCCCCACTCTCTGACCCAGAGTCGCTGACCCTTCCCATGTTTCTCTGGGCCCTGGGCTCCCTCCACTCTGTGGTTCTCAGCTTGGCCGGACGTTGGATTCAGCCCCTCGGACTGTGGCTCTCAGGGACAGAGGAAGCTCCGGGTGACTCTGCTGTGCGCCGGGACAGGCTGCGCTAACCTCTCGCCACCTGCAGGGCTGGTTTGCTGGCAGGAACCTGGCCATATCTCAGGTCACCACCAAATACGTGCTCTGGGTGGACGATGACTTCCTCTTCAACAACAACACCAAGATCGAGGTGCTGGTGGACGTCCTGGAGAGATCCGAGCTGGATGTGGTAAGGGCCAGTGGCCGCCATCATCCCCTGTGCCATCTGCTGAGACGAGGAGCACGGGGGTGGGGGGTGGGGTGTCAAACAGATGAGGAGGAGGAGGGGGAGGGAGGGCTGGCGCGGAGCTGGATGAGCCGGTGCAGCTGTGGCGTCGAGAGCATCGCGCTGGGACTCAGGAGACACGCGAGTTCGGCTTCTGCCTCCGCAGCTGCTTCCTTTGAGCGAATCACACACGCACGTGCACACACACACACACACACACACCCTAAAGGAACTCACAACTGTTCTACCATTCAAGTGGTGTCCAGGCCTCACTTCCAGCTCCCTCCCCGAGCAGTGCACATCAGGAGACCATGAAAAGGTGCAGAGTTGGAGAAGCACACACGTTAGGAAGGAAGGAGAAGGGAAGAGTGACAACATCACAGGCCAGTTCGCTACGGGAGAGGGAAGGAAGAAGGAACACGGGTGGAGGGCAGCGGTGCCCAGGCCACAGTTAACACACCGCAGGTGGATGAACCAGGACGTCCCTCGGCTACTCACGGAGAACAAGTCACTGTAGCTTAGCCGAGAGCTGGAAGGTGCAGCGCCCCTCCTGTGGAAGCCCGCAGGTGTGGGGGGCAAGAGCAGACCTGACTGAGTCGTGGCCGCTGTCGCAGGAAGACCCGAGCTTGCTCACCCACAGATGCCCTTCTGTCCCCTGGGTGCCTGCACAGGTGCTCAGAGAGGCCGGCCAGGGGCAGAGGCGGGGAGGGAGACAGCCTGAGACAGACAGACCCTCCACGAACACAGGGGCTGCCTCTTGCCATCCTGTGAACATGAGGGGCTTCAAAGGCTCATGGGAACATGGAGCTAAGAATTAAGTTTATTGGGCCGGCGCCATGGCTCACTTGGTTAATCCCCCTCCTGCGGCACTGGCATCCCATATAGGCACTGGGTTCTAGTCCCGGTTGCTCCTCTTCCAGTCCAGCTTTCTGCTGTGGCCTGGGAGTGCAGTGGAGGATGGCCCAAGTGGTTGGACCCTGCACCTGCATGGGAGACCAGGAGGAAGCACCTGACTCCTGGCTTCGGATCGGCACAGTGTCAGCCGTAGCGGCCATTTGAGGGGTAAATCAACGGAAAAGGAAGACCTTTCTCTCTGTCTCTGTCTCTCTCTCACTGTCTAACTCTGCCTGTCAAGTAAAAAAATTTAAAAAAAAGAATTAAGTTTATTTTAGAGCAAAGGACATTTTGAAATCCGTGTGTATTTTTTCAGAGTGTGCACATCCAAGAACTGATTGTGCACAGTGGTCCTCTGCCCCTTGGATTTGCAGGTACAGAGGAGGTGTGATTCTTGTGACGGAGGTGCAGTCCAGCAAGGCTTCCTGGAGGAGGCGGGCTGAGTGTCAAGTTTGTGCTCACTGACATGGCTCTCCCTGTCCTTGGCCAGGTGGGCGGCAGCGTGATGGGGAACGTGTTCCAGTTCATGCTGTTTTGGGAGCAGACTGAGAACGGGGCCTGTCTTCACCGGAGGCCGGGATCTTTCCGGCCGCTGCACGGCTTCCCCGGCTGCGTGGTGACCAGCGGCGTGGTCAACTTCTTCCTGGCCCACACGGAGCGGCTCCGGAGAGTCGGCTTCGACCCGCGCCTGAGGCGTGTGGCTCACTCAGGTGGGCAGGGTGTGGCACCGGGGCGGGAGCAGGGCAGTAGAGGAGCCTCCGGGTGGGGTTCCCTCTCTCCAAGGACCACGCCCCGCTGACCACGCCTACCGGCCCAGCAGCAGCGGCTCTCCTTCCCTCTCGCCCCAACCTGGGGAGCCCACGGCCTCCCGAACCCCACTTCACCTCTCTTTTGCTTCCGCGTCTCCATTGGCGCTCGTGCCGGCTGAGCTCTCCCCCAGCGCAGGGAGCTATACACTGTGTCCTCTCCCCATGCCTATCTTCCCAGACTGGGGCGGCTGGACCCTCGGTCTCTGACTGCTGTCCCCATTGTCCTGCTGCCCCTCTCTCTTTGCAGAATTCTTTGTTGATGGGCTGGGGAGCCTGCTTGTGGGCTCATGCCCGAAGGTGATTGTGGGTCACCAGCCCCGGACTCCAGCGCTGGACTCGGAGATGGCTGCCCTGGAGAGCGTCTACAGCAAATACCGGACCAACACCGGCGACGAGGTCCGGTTCAAGCTGGCCCTCCAGTACTTCAAGAACCACCTGCAGTGTGCCATGTAGCTGCGCCGTGGCACAGGAAAAGCCGCAGGCTGACTGGCCGTCGGCATCTGGGACAGGAGGACCAGCGGTGAGGGCTGCCAGAAACTGGACTTCTGATTGCCAAGACGGACATCGGACGGGTAGGACAATGGGGATGGCTCGGTTACCGGAAGTACCAGTCAGAAGTCAAGGAGCATTAGAAATGGACCAATCACTGCGCAGGACAATGAAAGACCCTCGTAATAATTGCTGTTTGTACGATGCCTTTTCTTTTATGAAGCATTCGCACGTACAGCGTCTCACATCATCTTAGCAGATCTTGTGCCTAACAGTATGTTGGCGGGCACCCTCAGTCTAGAGAAAGGCCGCGGGCCGGGGGTGGAGATTGTGCCGCGGTCAGAAACAGCATCTCCAGCGCTGCCGCCGCCGCCGCCGCCACTCTTCTGTTTGGTTCAGTCTCCTGGAAGAGGAAAAGGCACGGATAGGAGCAGGCATGGGTTGGCCCTCGGTTTGGGGCACCTGCACCCCACACTGGAGTGCCTGGTTCAAGTCCTGGCTTCTCTGCTCTTCGGATGCAGCTTCTGGCTGGTGCTTTGGGGAGGCAGCAGATGATGGCCAAAATGCTTGGATTCCTGCCATGCGCGTGGAAGTCTTGGATGGAACTCCTGGCTCCTGACTTTTGACTGGCCCAGCTCTGCCTGTTGTCTGCATTTAGGGAATGAATTAATGAATGGAAGATTCTCTCTCTTTCTCTGTCATGCTGCCTTTAAAATGAATGAATAAATGGCCGGCGCCGCGGCTCACTAGGCTAATCCTCCGCCTAGCGGCGCCGGCACACCGGGTTCTAGTCCTGGTTGGGGCACCGGATTCTGTCCCGGTTGCCCCTCTTCCAGGCCAGCTCTCTGCTGTGGCCAGGGAGTGCAGTGGAGGATGGCCCAGGTGCTTGGGCCCTGCACCCCATGGGAGACCAGGAAAAGCACCTGGCTCCTGGCTCCTGCCATCGGATCAGCGCGGTGCGCCGGCCGCAGCGCGCTGGCCGCGGCGGCCATTGGAGGGTGAACCAACGGCAAAGGAAGACCTTTCTCTCTGTCTCTCTCTCTCACTGTCCACTCTGCCTGTCAAAAAAAAAAAAAAAGAATGAATAAGTGAATTATTTTTAAAATAAATGAATGTTCATAAATCAATATTCAAAATACCTAAAAAATAAATTTTTATCAAAACATCATGAATAACCCAGAGTTCTTGCCTTGATGAGTTTGTAGCTTGGTTTGCTCAGCCCAGGAACAGAGCTGGGCAGCCAGGGTCAGAGGCTCAGAGGAGGGAGGCGTGACCAGGCCCAGGCAGCCGAGGAAGGTTCTGTGCAGTGAGCCCATCGGGAGGCTGGAGGACGACGGGACTCGGGCACTGGGAGCCATTCTGTGTCTACTGGCATCAGCCTCGCTGCCCCAGAGACATGTTCCAGAGCGCCTGGGACTGGACGTGTAGCCCAGGCTCAGCTGTCGTGAATGGATGGTGTAAGTGCCATGACAAGCCACAGGATTCCAGGGACATGAGGCCCTTCGAGACCTGTGCATTGTGTGGGGTTGTCATCATGGAGTCAGCCGCCCTGCCTGCACGGGTTCAACTTCCCCAGAGGATGGCCTAGGGTAATGTGGGCTCATTAAAAATATGTCATGTGGGGGGCGGCGCCATGGCTCACTTGGTTGATCCTCCGCCTGTGGCGCCAGCATCCCATATGGGCGCTGGATTCTGTCCTGGTTGCTCCTCTTGCAGTCCAGCTCTCCGCTGTGGCCTGGGAGTGCAGTGGAGGATGGCTCAGGTGCTTGGGCCCTGCACCCACATGGGAGACCAGGAGGAGGCACCTGGCTCCTGGCTTCAGATCAGCGCAGCTCCGGCCATAGCAGCCGTTTGGGGAGGGAATCAATGGAAGGAAGACCTTTCTGTCTCTCTCTCTCACTGTCTATAACTCTACCTGTCAAATAAATTTAAAAAAATATGTCATGTGCCATATTAATACAAATGTATGACGCATGTTTTGGTGTTTAAATAATTTGGAAAACACTGCATGCTGTGTCTCCCTCTTGTAAGTCAGAGCTCGTAGTAGGGCACTGAAGGCTCTGCGAAGTCCTGCAGGGAGGAACTCTGTAGGAGTGGGTATTTTTTTTTTTTTTTTGACAGGCAGAGTGGACAGTGAGAGAGAGAGAGACAGGGAGAAAGGTCTTCCTTTGCCGTTGGTTCACCCTCCAATGGCCGCCGCGGCTGGCGCGCTGCGGCCGGCGCACTGCGCTGATCCGATGGCAGGAGCCAGGAGCCAGGTGCTTATCCTGGTCTCCCATGGGGTGCAGGGCCCAAGCACCTGGGCCATCCTCCACTGCACTCCCTGGCCACAGCAGAGAGCTGGCCTGGAAGAGGGGCAACTGGGACAGAATCCGGCTCCCCGACCGGGACTAGAACCCGGTGTGCCAGCACCGCTAGGCGGAGGATTAGCCTAGTGAGCCGCGGCGCCAGCCAGGAGTGGGTATTTAGCGTAGTGGCTGCGCTGCCTGTTAAGGTGCCAGGGTTCAATTCCCGGCTCTGGCTCCTGACTGCAGCTCCCCACCACGCAGACCCTGGGAGACAGTGCTGATGACTCAAGTAATTGTGTTTCCTGTCACCCCAATGGGAGCCGTGGATGGAGGTCCCGGCTCCCAGCTTCCGCCTGGTCCAGTGCCAGCCCCAGCCGTTACAGGGATGTGAGAGGTGAACCAGCGGAGGGGGAGCGTGTTTTCTCCCTCTGCCTCTCAGGTAAATGAGAAACCTGCTTAACGTCCTTGAAGCAGCATTTCCTGGACGTCGACATGGACTAGCCATCATTTTCTATTGTCCCAGAAGAGGACTGAGGATACCTCATTCTGTTCTCTGTGCCATAAAGATTCTATTGTAGAAGTTTCTACAGCTTAAGCTAACATGTATTTCTTACAAAGGTTTATTTATTTTAAAGGCAGAGTTACAGAAAGAGAGAGAGAGAGAGAGAGAATCTTCCCTTTGCTGGTTCCCTCCTCAGATGGCTGCAATGAGCAGGGCTGGGCCAGGCTGAAACCAGGAGCCAGGAGCACCACACAGGTTTCCCATGTGGGTGCAGGGGCCCAAGGACTTGAGCCATCTTCTGCTGCTTTCCCAGGTGCATTAGCAGGGAGCTGGATCAGAAGTGCAGCAGCTGGGCACAAACAGCACCCATATGCGATGCCAGCACTGCAGGCAGCGGCTTTACTTGCTATGCCATGGCATCAGCCCCCTGAAAATGAAAAAGTTTTTAATTTGTCAAATTCACCCTCTCAGGTGGTGTTAATAACATTAGAGTCTTGCTTATTACATTATTGCTGTTCCTTGCCTTTCTTACTGTTTCAATTTATAGTTCTAAAACTACTAGAAAATTCACATGGCATTCATAACAATGGCTGATGGAGGTTTAAGCACAATTTAAAATAAACAATTTGGGGACTTGTGCTATGGTGTAGCAGGTAAGGCTGCCACCTGCAGTGCCGGCATCCCATATGGGTGCAGGTTCAAGTCCCGGATGCTCCACTTCCGATCCAGCTCTCTGCTTTGGCCTGGGAAAGCAGAGAAGATGCACCCACATGAGAGACCCAGAAGAAGCTCCTGGCTTCAGTCTGGCCCAGCTCTGGTGTTGCATCCATCTGGGGAGTGAACCAGCGGATGGAGATCTCTCCCTCTCCCTCTCTCTCTCTGCCTCTGCCTCTCTGTAACTCTGCCTTTCAAATAAATAAATAAATCTTTCCAAAAAATCCAAATAACTATTACCTGCTATGCCACAGCGCCAGTCCCCTCCAATAAACTCTTTAAAATATTGTGTGGGACTAGCACTGTGGAATGGGGGATAAAGCTGCTGCCTACGGTGCCAGCTTCCCGTATGGGCGCCAGTTCAATTCCCAGCTGCTCCACTTTCCATCTAGCTCTCTGCTGATGGCTTGGGAAGGCAGTAGAAGATGGCCCAAGTGCTTGGGCTCCTGTACCCACATGGGAGACCCAGAAGAAGCCCCTGGCTTCAGATCAGCTAGGCTCTAGCTGTTGCATCCATTTGGGGAGTGAGCCAGTGGATAGAAGACTTCTCTCTCTGCCTCTGCTTCTCTGTAATTCTGCCTTACAAATAATTAAATAAATAAATCTTATGAAAATGTTATTGTGCCTCAGATTTTTCCTCTATAATGCTAAAAACACAATCATTTTTTAAAGATTTATTTATTTATTTGAAAGGCAGAGTTAGAGATGCAGAGGGAGAGAGAGAGAGGTCTTCCATCTGCTGACTTACTCCCCAAATAGCCTCAATGGCTGGAGCTGGGCCAATCCGAAGCCAGGAGCCAGAAGCTTCTTCTGGGTCTTGAACCGGCACCTGTATGGGATGCTAGCACTGCAGGCAGTGACTTTACTCACTATGCCACAGTGCTGGCCCCAGGGATTTTATTTTTATAAAAATATTTAGTAAGGATGCCAGCATTGTGGCATAGCAGGTAAAGCTGCCACTTGCAATGCTGGTATCCTGGCTGCTCCACTTCCGATCCAGCTCCCTGTTAAATGACCTGGGAAAGCAGCAGAAGATGGTCCAAGTGCTTGGGCCCCTGCACCAGAGTGGGAGACCCAGAAGAAGCTCCTGGCTCCTGGCTTCAGCCTGGTGGTTGTGGCCATCTGAGGAGTGAACCAGTAGACGGAACACCTCTTTCTCTGTCTCTCCCTTTTTTTGTAACTCTGCTTTTCAAATAAACAACAACAAAACAAAACAAATAAACAAATCTTTATTTTTTAAATTTATTTATTTGACAGATAGAGTCAGACAGCAAGAGAGAGAGAGAGAGAAAGGTCCTCCCTTCAGCGGTCCACTCCCAAAATGGCCACCACAGCCAGCCAGGAGCCAGGTGCCTCCCCCTGGCCCCCAATGCAGCGCAGTGGCCCAAGCACCCAGGCCACCCTCCACCGCCCTCCTGGGCCACAGCAGAGAGCCAGACCGGAAAAGGACCAACCGGGACCAGAACCCAGTGCCCACATGGGATACCTGCACCACAGGCGGAGGACCAACCAAGCGAGCCACGGTGCCGGCCCCAATAAACAAATCTTTAAAAAATATTTAATGTGGGCCAGTGCTGTGGCATAGTAAGTTAAGCCTCTGCCTGTGGCTCCAGCATTCCATATGGGCACCGGTTTGAGTCCTGGCTGCTCCACTTCCGATCCAGCTCTCTGCTATGGCCTGGGAAAGCAGTAGAAGATGGCCCAAGTCCTTGGGCCCCTGCATGTGTGTGGGAGACCCGGAAGAGGCTCCTGGCTCCTGGCTTTGGATCAGCGCAGCTCCGGCCGATGAGGCCATCTGGGGAGTGAACCATCGGACATAAGATTGCTATAGCGCTCTCTCTCGCTCTCTCTCGCTCTCTCTCTCTAACTCTGTCTCTCAAATAAACAATTTTTTTTTAAGTGCTTGATCCATGGTTGGTTGAATCTACAACTGGGGGACTCTCAGACATACAGAGAACCAACTCATACAATTTCCTTCTTCAGCAAAGTCTTGCCATGAAAGAGCATCAGCCGAGTTGAAACAATGTGCCTGGGGATGGAGCTGCCTTTGACGCTGGCACAAGCTCCTATCTCCAGTAGACTTGTTGCGAATAACTCACAGACCAGGCCTCAGCATTGTTTTAAATTAGGAGTCAGCAAACTTTTCTTCTTCTTTTTTTTTTTTTTAAAGACTATTTTATTTATTTGAAAGGCAGAGTTACAGAGAGAGGGAAAGAGAGAGGTGTTCACATCTGCTGGTTTAATCCCCAAATGGTTGCAATGGCCAGAGCCAAGCCAGGCCAGGCCAAAGCCAGGAGCCAGGAGCTTCCTCTGGGTCTCCCACATGGGTGCAGGGACACAAGCACTTAGGCCATCTTCTGGCTGCCCTCCCAGGCACACTAGCAAGAAGCTGGATCAGAAGTGGAGCAGCCTGAATTTAAATAGGCACCCATAGGGGATGCCGGCACTGCAGATGGTGGTTTTACCTGCTTTACCGCAGCACCGGCCCCACCTATTTTTACAATCTAACTCTGGGGCAGGTGTTGTGACACAGGAAATGAAGCCGCCTGGCCCCGCCCCCAGCTTGGCATGCAGGCATCTGATCTCGGAGTGTCTGGTTTGAGCCCCGGCTATGCTGTGCTTCCGATTCAGCTTCCTGTTCATGTGCCTGGGAGGGAGCAGATGATGGCTC